TATGCATTTTACATCCTCATAATTGCCTTTTTCGAATGTCATAAATGTTGAAAGATATGATAAGAAAAGCTCATGGAACTATATTAACAAATTTCAAATGTACTTCTTTAAATGTCTTGTGGCAACAGAATATCTTTGAATTTGGTTGTACAATACAATCCCCATCTCTTATAGAATCTTATCAATTTCTACTTGTTGTAACTTATTTCTTATTCAACCTTTCTTAATTGAACTATTGGTATAATTCTCATTTGAAAACTTATGTTAAACTTTGTTTGTCATACTCTCTTAAGCCTTGCGATTTTATTTATAAGATTCTACAACTCCTAATCCATGATACTCTCTTGATATCACAAAAAGTATATGTATTGAACTTAGCATTAAGCTTTGTCTACTCAACATTTTGCATCAATATAACCAACATTCTGAAATAAGTATATTGGAGTACTATAGTGATTTATTAGACCAAATCTCTTTGATTGCTTTGAATCAATGATGTAGAAGCCAAGTGATTCACCAAATAACACAGCTTGTTAATTATCCTGACCAAAAATTTCATAAAAGTTCTTGTAAATAATCTCTTACTGCATGCTCTATCAAGTCTTGTCATATTCATCCTTTCACCTACTTTAATTTTTATGTTGTACAGAAGAGAGTATAATGAAATTATCATCTCTTTTTAGACAAAAGATCTCACAATAGTAGGAGCCTCATTCTCTGACATTGTCATGGCTAAAAACTTTAACCTATTTTTATATTTTTTTCAGCTTTAATCTTTTACGGTCTTAATGAATCTGTGTTTGAAAAATAGACAAATGTTTTCTTTCATAAGTCATCCATAAAAATACTAACATATTTTCCTCCATTAGTAATGACTAAAGATAAATCCTAACCATTTGAATGTGAATACTAAAGAATATATAATTTTTCAATTTTGTGTCCCTTTATAGCAATGTATTCACCTTTGCAATCTTAAAATTACATTAGCTCTTGATATAGAAACAACTACTTGGATCACATAAGGATGAAAGCCTTTTTGTCAAGTCAATTATACCAATGATATTTGGCCAAGTCCTCATAACTCTATCAAACATCTCATTTTTACATCTCCTATCCCAATACTCTGCACTTTGATTTATTGCTTGTCATAACTTTACTTCTGTTATGAGATGAATAACAATTAAATCAATCTATAAATGGGAACAGATGTTCGGAACATTCAAAATCAAAAAACTATGCAATAGAATAATATCTCTCTAAGGAGATTGTTACAACATTTCGTCTCTTTTCTAAACCATGGGACTACAAAAAACTATTTCATCACTCAACTACATGAACTGTTCAAGTTTAACAGAATCTACTTGCCAATGACCTCCTTACTTGTGGTAGCAAAATTTATCATTTCATTTTGACTTGGATCTTGAACAACTATTCTTTCTACCTTTGATTTCTTGAACTTATTGGATAATATAGTAAATGTGACATCTTACATCTTCAAGTATCTTTTTAATATAATATGATAGTCATCAAAAGATTATAGGACATAGACAATGATGAAATGAAATGAAGAGACTGGTCCTTTTCTCTACCTTAAGTTCTAAACTATAAAGTTATGAAATCAACTTATTAAACATATTCATGTGCACCGCTGAGGCTATTAGCCAGACTTGTTGCTTCTGCAGCGGTATCATATTCTCCTCCCCTAATCCTCGGCCCCGTCCTGCTTCTGTTTTCCCGACGAATTGCGGTCTCACTCACTTTGCATCTTACCCTGAATCTTTCCCCCGCTTCTGAAAGGATTCCTTCTTGGACTAGCATGGCATTTGAGGGCACGGCGGTCTGAGGAGAGACCAAGGCTACATGATTGAGATTTGCCCCTGGACTGCCCGAATCAAGTCCTGATTTGGCTACTCGGCCTTTACGGAAGAAGATATTTTTGAAATCATGACCAAAAGTTACAAAATTCATCAGATGAGAACGACATGGAATTGGATCTTGCGGACTGTTCTGATAGCTAGTTACCGGCTGAAAGAATCAAGAGTAGACCCAGCAGAGCACCACATTGAAAGCCTCGGACAGCGCTCTATGCGCGATCGGTAACGACACTTCTACTCGAGACCAGAGCTCTGTTCATGGGATACCCAGTTCCCACCTGACGCTACTCGATTCTGCGTCCAGGAATGTTCCCGTGCTTTTACTTCGAGTCGCATGGTGGTGGTGGCGACTACATGGACCTGGCGGCAGAGAGTGGGAGACTCAGTCGTCGAATCACTCGATAGTTTCCAGAGCTCATTTCGGTTCTGTCAATCAGGCCAAGCATAGTAGCGTATGCTCCTCTCGATCCACTTGCTTTGGCATTTGAACTCCCCAAATAGAGAATTAAGCGAACGACGTATGTGGACAGTGGAACTCACGCAGTTTCGAGGAAAAGGGTCGGGGGCTCCCATCTCGCCCTACGTTTTCGTGCTGGTAAAAACTCAAATGTGGCAGAAGAACCCGCCAAGTACAAACAAAAACTAGCGGCAGGGATTGCCATGGCGCACTGCTTACCAATGTTTATCAAGTCAAACATGGAATTCCTTGTTCAAGATGAGGCGGGAGGGGGAGCGAACGAGAGAGAGAGAGAGAGAGAAAGAGGAAGGATAGCAGCACCCTCAAACGCCAACTCCAACACAGAAAGGACTTTGGCATCCTGCTCTCGATCCCTACGCATGCAGGCCTCGCATAATCCCATGGGCATAGCCGCATACCATCACAAGAGAAAAAAGAGAGACGACGCCGGCTGGAAATATCTTCCCCGACTTCCTGAAGCGAGAACCCATCACCACAAGCAGCGCAGCAGATAGACCTGCTCACAAATGGCGCAGCCCTCATTACGACAACAATGCTTAGAGTGAGAACCTTAAAGACTGTACTGTGTCTAAAATTCCAGCGTCAGTGTCCTCACCTAGGCCCAGGGATGAAGCGAAGGCTGGCCTCACAGGGAGCTGAGTGTAAACAAAATATAATAACAAGGCCGAAGCACCACCAGCACCTAGAGACTTCTGGCTCCCACTCTTCAGGTATCCCATCAGTCCACCAACTGAAAGCAAAATAAGTGCGTACTTCATATGAGCTCATGAGCTAACCCACACACAAATTTTGTACAAGACAGGCGGCTTTTAATTGTTTTCATTCTGATTCAATTCAACTCACAAATGAATAAGCTAAATGGATGACAAAAGTGAATGCTCCTGATGCACTACCCCAACGCGCAGACAAAGAAAAAAAAAAAGATGAATATTGAAGACACTTCCCGAGAGTTAATGATCTCAATGTGTAACTGGGTTACTAAAGGCCACAGACGATGCAGGTAGTGATCCGCAAAACATTGATCCGCAAGACAACCGCGTAAGAAGGGCACATGCCACCTGAAATTTTGCCTGCTTGATATTCCATGCCTACACATGAGTAGGCAAAGCTTTGATCGACTGACTTTAAGTGTTGGTTAAATATGCACATCATGCAGACGTTTCTCACATGATATAAGTTGAAGTATTCCGCCAGACAAACTTAGGAATCATTAGTTAATGCTACACTAGACGGTGCACGCAGGGAGGAAGGCTCTCCATAAATGTATGTTCCCATTCCATCCATTCCAGGACGGTAGTGAATTCAATATTTTCTTAATCATTCAGGGGAGAGGAAGAGTACACTTCGTAAAAAAAGCAATAGCACATCATTTGTGTTTTTCAAAGGGAGAACACAGTTGCAGACCAACATCTCTTGTCGGGCAAAAACACAAATTGGCGGCTTGAAGAATCTCAAGCCTAACCTTGAAAGACGAGACAGAACAGCAATTTTGAAATATGCAGGTTGAATAGGTTCGTCTCACAGACTGCAAAGATGAATTACAAAACTCAAGAAAGAAGTCAACTAAAATTGAAATATATTCAACCATAGAAGCCCTCCTTATGCCTCAGTCTATGAAATTCATGAACTTTCACTTGTAGCGGTGTGCATGAAAAATAGGAAAACGATGTAAAACAACACTTACGATGGAAAGTGATACATGGGCATATATGAACAATAATCTAGGTTCTATGCAGGAATATGCCTCCCAAAACAGCTGTGTATAAGTGGAAAATCACAGATGATTCTTTTTTCTTCTTCTTCTTCTTGAAATAAAGGCAATGACAATTCCACATAATGGGGGCTAAATAATCCAGCCTTGAAAGAGAAATTTTCGCTCTGTATATGGTCAGAATTTGGAAGCAACAAATCCTGATTCGAGTGTGGAATGTCTTCGGGATTGGATTTCTGTTAGCCAAGCATTCCATGTAAGCAGTTGAATGTTAGGATGGGTTTTCATCAGTACGTATTTAATTTCATCAAAAGCAAACACATCATTTTCATCCTTCAAAGCTTCTGATGAGGTTTAATGGACAACAGCTTGACTAATGAGGGAGCAGGATCCCATAATGTGCCAAGAATGACAGGGTCGAGTGCATAGTTGTTAAGGCAGACACGTTGAGAGACTACATACTTAATACCCAAGCATGCATTCATGCCAGGAATAAAATCCTAGCGAAAATCGAAGTAGCCAAGTATCTACTCTATATACCACGTAAATTTTGTCCCAATCTAGAGTGATATAAACCTAGTTATTCTGTCAAGGTCATCACCACATTTAATTGAATTTATTGTCTTTCGGTGTGGCCACAAGTGCCCAACTCAAGCATTTCTCAATTTCATATTTTCAAGGGTGGATCAGTTCTGGTGCTCTGACTTTCTATATGATGAACCACAGATTCAAAAGATAAACAGGGAGGATCTTTTTGGTGTGAGTGCTGAGTTAAAGCATAATTTCTCTGCGGATTCAGAGATATCCTTCGTCTGAACTCCATTAATTCCAGCACCCTCCTTGAGGTTAAGAAACATAGGGATGACATTACGCTCCTTTCCAAAAATGAAAGATCCCGGTGCTCTTAGCTTAAAGAGGGGCCGTCGAGGCCAACAGTTTAAATGCCAGGTCTGCGTTCAATTGGGAATAGATTGCCGCCCTCAAAAAATATTTTTGCCAGCATCCAGGGACCAGATTACAGTACCTCATTTTTCTTGTACGCCAAATTCACATTCGAGATTTTCACTAGTCAAGCTGAACAAAAAGCCCATCACACTCGTGTAACAGAGGCGAATAAAGGAACAGGAACGATCGAGTAAGCCGGAAGGTAAAGCATGAAGGATATCTCGATGATGCGAGAGGGGTATGAGATGGTGAGTCACTCACCTCCAACAAGCGCGGCATATCCCAGCGTGATCTTCTGAGACATGGACATCCCTCCTCCCATCTTCTTGCGCTCCCCGTCCTCCGAGGACCCACTTCCTTCGTTCCAATCACCGTTTCCTCCTCCGCGGCCGTGTCCCTCAGCCCCCCCTCCCCCGCCGATCTCCCCGCCGCCAGAATCGGGAACCGCAAATCGGAGAGTGTGGCTTGTCCTTGAGCGGGCCGCGACTGAGGCGCAGATCGGGATGAGAGACGGGGTGGAGCTGGCAGAGGGGCGGACGCTGAGGTGGAGGGGGAGGCGAGATAGCGGGGGAGGAGACGGGCGCGGCGCAGGTCGGGAGGGCTGGGAGAGGAGGGTTGACTGAGAGGCGAGAGAATTAGCAGCGGCAGCCATCGAGGGCTTTCTTTCGCCTTTACGGAGGAAAAGATCTCCTCAAGGGCTCAGGCTCCCCCTCCGGTTTAGGCACAACGGAGCGGAGAAGAGAGAGGAACTCGCTCTGTGTGTGTGTCTCCCTCGTACGGAGCGAGTCTCGAGTCTAGCCGGCTCGCTCGGGATTTCGTTGGTGAAAAAAAGTAAAGCAAGCAAATATGAGGGATTAAAGTGAGAAGTGACTCTGGGGCCTCGTTTTTAACGTAAATGTCGACATTAACAGCTAGCACGTGCGGTCTGGGATCGAGACCGAAAGCATCCGGAAGATTAGTTCCACGTACGGACCGCGAATGGAGACTGACTTCAGCTCGCGGCCGGCGATGGGGATCGGTATAAACTTTTTAAGCAGGCGGTCGCCGCCCTTCTCGTTTACGCAATGAAATCACAGTCGCATGCAGGCAGGCCTCTTACTAAGCACTCAGCTCTGAGCTCTGAGCTCTTCTCAGCTCTTCTCAGCACTGGCACCGCACGCCGGGGTGGACTCCGTTCGTCCTCCGCGGACGTGCCGAGGGCGAAACGGCCACCGGAAGCGCGGGAACTGTACTTGCTGGCCTGGGCGTCGTATGCCGTTCCATCCCCTCTGGAAGGGGGGCGGGGGGCGTGTGGAGGAAGGTTGCTAACTTCGGGGTGGCGCCGGGTGCGTCGGGCTCTCCCCTCCTCCGTCTCCTCATCGTCATCAACGGCAAGCACCCTGCTATATTTGGAGGCCCCTGCCCCCGGAAGCCACGGCAACCATCATTGAGAGTAACCCCGAGCAGCCAGAGAAACACATGCCGAAACTCTGTGTGGCCAACTACTACCCAAGGGGGGGGGGGACAGAGAGAGGTGCGCCCGCCCGCCCCAAACAGACGGAAGAAACGGCGGAGACGGAGGCGGCGGAGGCGGCCATCTTAGCATATCCCCGGCTCAACCACCTCCAGATAGCCAGGCGGCCCTCCTCTGTACCCCCCGGATCTCCCTCTCTGCCCTCCATTGTGCGCCTGTATATAATAGATGTAAGAATCCTCCAGGCTTCCCCCAGAGGGCCAAGCACATATCTACCTACAGGGAAAGCACCGTATAGCTTCCCCCCCCCCAAACCCTTACCCTCTCCCCTCCGTACATTCCTCCCGCCGGCCAGGGGCTGGAGGCTACCCGGCCTCCTTCGCAGCCCTGTCCGAAGGAGGGAAGACTTGCCTGCAGAGATAACACACCCCGGAACTCCTCTCTCTCTCTCTCTCTCTCTCTCTCTCTCGGGGGCAACCACGGCGAAGAAGGTAACGAGGAGATTACGAGAGGAGGAGAACAAGGAGAAAGAAAAAAAGAAGATAAGCGCAAGTACAAGTGCACGCAACAATGAACGGGGTGGTCAGGGAGCTTCCGGTTCTGGCTCTGTCTACGTCCTCATCGTCCTCGGAGGGCGAGGAGGATATGTGCCCCCTTACGCCGGTGGACCCGCCAGCGCCGTTGCTGATCGGAAGGTACATTCGAAATAAGAGGTTGTCGAAGCAGCTGTCGATGAGGGAGACGAGGAGAGAGGCCATCTGGGAGAAGCGAAGGAAGCAGATCCTCGAGCAGTCGACGCTAGGTGCTGGGCCGGGGGACGAATGCGAAGAAGAAGGAGAAATCGGTATCGATGGAAAACGTATTGCGCGGGGGAGGAGCCTGACGGACGAGGACCTCGACGATCTCAGGGGTTCCATCGAACTGGGTTTTGGGTTTAGCGAGGAGGCCGGCAGCCGCAACCTTTGTCACATGCTGCCGGCACTCGACCTCTATTTCGCGGTTAATAAGCAGATTTCCGACTCCAGGCTTTTGCTCTCGCCCAGCCCAGTCTCAACCCCTAGCACTGCTGGCGGCGGCTCCTCTTCATCCCTCCTCGAGAGCCCCAGCCCCCGCAGCCCGTTCTACCACGCCGCCTGCTCGCCATCGTTGAAGATCTTCAGCCCAGGTAGTGTAATGTGGTGCAATATCATGCCGTTTCTTTGAGCTTTCGATTTTGCTCTTATTTGCGCATCATCCATCGTTATTATCATCATCATCTACACATTCATGCATAAAACCCCACTCCATCGGCGGAAGAGGGGGTGGGTGGTCTTATAATTTCTGGTCATTGGACGGGTGGCAGAAGACATCTCCGATATCCGTCTCTGTACCCACTCTGGCATCGTGTCTTCACGGCGGAAACCAGCCGTCCAGGACGGCAAGGACGGGGGAGCAGGTGGGCTTCATCCTCAGCCGAAATGTGTGAAGCGAACGCTGGCTCTAAACAGAGGGAGGGGGAGAGATGAAGGTGGCAAGTGATAGGTAGGACTCGTCAGTTAGTCGTTCCCCACTTCACTAACAGGGACAGGCGGAGCACAGTATCAGCCAGTCTTCGAAGTATCCGTATCAATCCTTCCGCCCTTCCCCGCGTTCTCCTCTTTGTATCAGTCAACACAGGCAGGCCTACAGTCCCCTGGCCGACGGGACAACATCGGCCTTTGTGGCACCCGCCCACGTGTCCCCGGATAATCAAAAGCACGCCTTCCATTGGACATCCCGATTTGCTGGGTCCCCTATCCAGTAACCCCTTTCCTTTATCCTCCTCCCGCCGTTGAAATATCTCTCAGTACCCCCTCGTCACATACTGCCAGCTCGTCCGGTACAGTAGTAGTCTGCCGCGCTCCTGTCGGGGCAACAAGCCATCATCCATTCTGTCCCCTCTTCCCTGCTTCTTCGGGTGGGTTTTCGTGAGGTGGAAGAAAGGTCTTCCTCACAAGTCAAAAGTTTCACGAGACGGTGGGTGCATGCACGTCCATTTCAATTTCATGGGGGGCCCCTTCTAGACTCGTCTCATCGAATTTTTCCTCTCCTTGCAAATGATATTGTAGCTGACGGCGGCTGGTCCGCTCTCTTTCGTGGACAGGAGACGGGCCGAAGCAAGTGAAGACGAAGCTGAGGCACTGGGCGCAGGCCGTGGCTTGCGCGATGATGCAGCAAGAACGGATCGGAACCCCCAGGGGGGCCTCCGGCGGGAAGGAATGACCGCCCGGCGGGCGAAAGGGGCAAGGCCTCACCTCGCGGAATCAACAGAATCACGCGGAAGAGATGCCCACGAGGCCGGCCGGAAACTCTTCTCGGTTCATGGAGGGAAATTCCTCTGGGGAGTAGAAGGTGAGAGAACGAGAAGAGAGGGAGGTATGGTAGTAGGGATTGGTGTTGTTGGGGGGAGGAACGAAGAATGGTTCCGTGCTTATTCGCGTCATTCTGCCTGGGACAATCCGCCGCTTTGCCTTTCAGATGCGAAGAACTCTCCTCCTCCTCTCTCTCTCTCTCTCCCTCTCTCTTTCTCCCCCTCGAGTCGGCGCCGGCGAAGCATCGACGCAGAAGCCTGCACGCAGTGCAGAGCGGGAGGGTGGGTATCTCTTCCGCGTCACATGGCCAATTGGCTTCCCGGCGGTAGTGGTGATGGCGAGATTATTGATGGTTAAAAAGGACCGTGAATGGAAGGGGTGGAGAGCGGCGGCGCAGTAATGGGGGAACGAGGAAGTAGCTGGACGGATGGATGGGACACGACGACGACGACCCGCGAACGTACGCAGAGCTAGACAGAGAGGAAGAGGGGAAGACTTCGTGATGAGGGAAGTGGGCGTCCGGATCTTCCGTGGAGGTGCTGGAGACGGAAGAGCACGTCACATGGGGGGGGGGGGGGGCGCTGTCACTCTCTGTACGGAGGGCAGGGAAGGGAGGAATGAGCGTGGCGTGTCCGCCCTTGTCTGTCCCCTCCACGTGAGAGTGCGGAGCCGAGCCCAAATTTCCCCGAGATGTTGCGATGCGTGTGGGTGAGGACACGGTGAATGGAAAATGAAACGGAGGCGGAGGGACGGATAAAATCTGCAGAGGAAGAGGGAGACAAAGGAGGTAGGTGTGCACGTGGGGGGAGTCGTCTCGCCGGCGCCACCACCCCGTGTCAGCGCGCTCCCTGCCCCACCCGAATCCCCCCTTGTGGTTCTCATCGCCCGTGTCCCCGGCGGCCTTCCACCACGGCGGACGACGGTCTGACCCGCGAGGCAGGTTTAGGCTTCGAATCGCAGCAAATTATGGACGGCCGGCGAGACAGGAGCCTCCCCTTCCCTCTCCCCCCGGTGATGAAACGAAGGAAAGCAGGAGAATTCCTCGACGACATTAATGGCACAAGCGACCGATCGTCGCCACCCCCGCCTGCCTGCCTGCCCTCGTTTCTGCGCACATTATCCCGGCGACCGACTGACTGACTACTCGGCCGGGATTCCCCCTCTCTCGGGTCGCCGAGCCCCGCAAGACCACTGCCGGCAGTCGCACGCTGCACCCGTCGATCTAACGTGTCTTCCCCCAGTTCTTGCCGCCGACAAATGTGAGGGAGGATAACAACGCACAGGCCGATCCCAAGCCCTGGAAAATATCTCGGAGCAGAACGGAAAAAAAAAAGGAACGGGATGAGAAAGGAAATACGGAGGGAGACCCTGTCAAGTCTGGTCATTATTCTGCACAGCACATCAGTAATCGATCATCGTAGCAGTAACCGTTGAATCGGCCCCTGTCATCGCCACGGAGCTCGACAGAGCAGAGCACCTATAAGGAAGCCGTGGCCTTTTAGCCGCCTTCAGCCGAACCCCCCACGCTCGGCGAACCGACCAGCAGAGGGGGCAAAAAAGTGTAGGCAGGAAAAAATGGACGCCGCGATCGATCCCGAATGCTGTGAATCCGCTGGACAGGCCTGTCTGGTCGCCCTTGCCCAGGCCGTCTTCCTCCCGTTCGCTGGAACCTCGTCGCTGAAATCTCCGCACCAGGCGAGCACATTGCGTCTGCTACCGCTCCTCCACGCGGAGGTGGAGCTTCTACGGGAGAATGACGAACGACAAGCCGTTGGGAAGAATGTCGTCCTCTTTCCCGATTAACGAAAGCAGACGCTCGAAGACCACCGGGTCGCAGGGAATTTGCAGGGCGCCGGAGCCCACGTTGTCGAAGCCGAACTCCTCTTCGGCCTTCCTGAGTAGTTCCAGGAAGATTGGATGCTTCAGGTAGCTCAGAGGAATGGCGTACCTCCTGGCCTCCTCGCCGACGTAGACGGCGAAGAAGCCCTTCCTGATGTCCTTGTCATCATGGAAGGCGAGGACACTTGTGGGGGACATGGGGAACGAGTCGACTCGGAGCTTCTCCCATAGCTTCACGGACGGAGCTTTGAGGTTCAGCTTCCTCAGCGCCTTGTGCAGTTTCGTGCCGTTTCCGTTCCCCATGTTCGTTCGTGGCGGTGATTGCCGAGTGGAGAACGGCCGGGGGGGGGAGAGGGGAGGGTGTACGACGATTAGTTTAGCTGACCAGACAGAAACGTTCGGATTGAGAGGGATGTTGTAGAGGAAGGAGACGGAGGGAAGGGAGAGATGGGATAGGAAAGATGAGTTGGCAGGGAGAGCGCCCCTGCATGGGGGCGGGGATTATGATGGCAAGGGCAGGGCAGAGGAGAGGGCTTTAAATAAATAAAAGGGGGGGGAGAAGGGGCTAAGACCGACCAGGGGGGTGGACGGGGTTCATTCATTGCCCCTCCCGGGTCCTGGTCGCCTCTAAGAGCAGGAGGAAGGCGCAAGAAGGACACATGAGACGTGTACGCAGAGATAGATGCACATGATGGCGATGGGCATAGTTGGTGGTAGCGGCCGCGCGGAAGGGAGAACCACAGGAAATACAACCATCGCACTGTGGTTGTGGTGTGCCCCCGAGGGGAGAGGAGAAGGTAAGGTACGAGGCGGTTGCCCCCACCAGCCGCGCTGTTATTATTCATTCAATAAATGAGTCGAAGTCTCACCACGCTCCGAGCTTGCGAGGCAGCGAGTATGGATGAGTTCATTGAGATAGTCGGCGGCGGCGGCGGTGACGGCGTCGGATGATATCAACCATTCGCGGTAGCGGCGACTGAGTCGAGGAAGGGGAAACCGTTCCGCGTGGATGTGTGGGGACAAGGTGACATTAACAGAGAGGGCGCCGACCGGGCATGGGGATGGCTGCCCGAGTGGGTGCCCTCGACTAGCTGGCTGCCAGTCGCAGAGGAGCCCAGGCACTCTCAGCTATTGGAGTGGCCAGTCATCGGCCAGCTGGGTTGAGAGTAGGCACCTACGACACTCGGCCGGAGCAATCAATCAACAAAGACGGTGGCCCGGCCCTCCGCCCGCCCAACCTCGGAGTGGGGAGTTCTCACCGTTACCACGCTGCCTTGTCGACCCAGAGAAGCGCGATTATTCATTCTGCAGTCGCCTGCTTTGTTGCTGCATACTGGCTGCAAACGAGGAGAGTAGCCCGCGAGACTACCGAGCTCTGTAGTGTATGATTTAAATATAATTATATACAGTAATGCGTCACGTCTCACCGGCAGCGCGGTGGCAGGTAAGGGGGGGGTGTGGGGGTGCTTTTCTTTTCCTGAAAATGAAAAAAATACACGCATGGTCTCTTGATGGGACCTTGACGGAGCTTCTCCGGCGGAGTGGGGCATGACGCGGGGATCGATCCACCGACGGAGAGCCCCAGCGCACCTTACCGAAGGCGTACAAGTGTATTCCCGGCGGCCCGGTCTGTACGTCCCCGGCGGCGATACACGATCTTGGGCCAGTACATACCGTAAGGCCACTGTTTAACGCGCAAGAGCAGGGTTAAACGAGAACGTCATCTTCGGCGGATGTCCATTGCGAGATGTAAGTACGTCCGTCGTGATCTGCAATCTCGTCTCCAAATGCCTCCCGTGCGATGCCCTCCCCCATAAATCCTCGGGCGTTGTTGCAGCACCTTGAAAACCCAACTAAAGCTGTCTTCATAACCAATAGTTTAAATTCAAAGGATCAACCTTTCCCTTTATGTAGAAGGATTAGCCTACTAAGTTATCTAAAAAAGTGATGTGAGATTTATACTTAATTCTAGGTATGACGTAACAAAAGATGAGTCATGCCACTACGTCTTGGGCATATTGGCTGTGCCACCTGTTGGTTACGAGGTTCCACCTAAGGAATCTCACATTATTAATCTAGCCATGTGACATTCTTTCCCTCCAAGTTCCAAACTCCTCGTCAGAGGGTACTTTTCAAATTAATGGTTGACGAAGTCTTTAAAATTACAAGAGGTCAGTGTTTCACTCTCGTGTAATCTCTTCTTTTGGTCAGATATACCACTTGACAAAGAATAAGATGTGACAATGTGTTTGGAATCGCCCTCCACCGCAAATTTCGTGATAGTCCTCGATCACCTCTACCTAATGGATGTAGTGTATTTTGACCATGTGAGACAGTTACTTCAGGTGATTGAGATATGAATTTTCATGTCTATCTAGTATCGATTGAGTTTTCAAATGTGAAATATTCGATGTGTTGCTAGCTGAAGTGGAAGTTGCAAGTGGTAGGTCAGTTATCTTATCCTGGTTGTATTCATAAATGAATTTGTGTGCCATGACAACAACCCATTATCCCACTTGATCCTCTTCAAGTGGAAAATCAAGTACATCACCTTCCTAGAGCCCAAAGCCTTTGTAGGGCAATAGGGCTGCACAAAGTATTAAAAAATCCTAATAATATTTACTAACTATATCTTATACTACATGCAAAAATGTATTAGTTGCTAGGTATATCGTACAGTACACGTAAAATATGATGGTGGTTGAGGGTGGAAGATCATAGACAAAACCTTGATACCTCTTGGGCACACTTACACAAAATCAAAGAAAAGTATAACTTACAAATTATGTATTGATAATCTAAGGGGCATTACATTAGATAAAATATATGAGCAATTGTGCAAATATCCATGGAGTTTGGAACATTGTTACTAGAAGCCCATTTATATGATGAAGGTGGACAAACTTTACAAATTTACAACAAGACTACAACGATGGTATGCAAGGTGTTGAAGACATGAGGGAAAATGATTGCTCTTCAATTTTGTGAAGTGTGTATTCACAGTAAAACGATGAGTTCCTTAGCCCTATGATGGGGAGATATGTCATGCAAATAAATCAAAATATCTAGATCATTGATGAATGACCAATGCCACACAAAGTACAAAGCTATAGTAAATTATTATAAAATTTATTTCTAGATTTGAATGGGGGAGTGTTAAAAAGCATTCAATGACATGCAAAAGATCGTCACAGCCAACTATTTTCCTATTATTAAATGTTTTAAAGTCTACCAAAGTCCACATAAATGTATTGGACATGTTCATCAGTGAGGTGTTAATGCAGAAAGAATACAATGTGGATTTTGAAGGTGAGAAGTTGAATGAAATAGAACAGTGGTTATCCATCAAAACACTAGTAATGTTGTGATGAGCTGATTTAACTCAAAGTAGAAACTCACCTCCAACCAAAAATTAATAATAAAATTTTCTCACATAGTATGATTTAACACTTTAGTACGAGTCAAGTTGACTAATCTGGTGGTAACTACTTTGAGTTACAAAGAGACTCTTATCAACTATAATAACATTTTCAATAATCATCAATAACTTAATAAATGAGATTTATTTGCCAGATATAGCAGAGGAAGTAGTAAGAATACTGATGCACCAAAGAAAACTAAGATATACAATACTTTTGGGTAGATGATGATTTCCGTATGCACAACTTCCAAGTTTATTTACAAGTTGAGCCACAAAATAATATGCATGTATGTCATATTGGATGGTAGTGCACAACAACACTCCTGTCCAACATACATTTCAAATTGAATATGAAAGAAGATGTTGAAGCTTACGTCCTCCTGTATCTTGTATATCAAAATCACAAGACTAAAAAGATGAACACATTTAGAATGCTAAAATCGCTCACAATACAAGAATTGTTCATATGAGCCATTGTTGATAAATTTCATTGGGTTACTAGTGGTAGATTATCACAATACAACCTTAGTTGTAGTAGATCGATTTAAAAAATATATAATGTTCATACCGATGTACACAGATTATAGATAAAAAAAAGGTGACGTTGAAATTGAGTCTTGATTTATTTGATTTGACCAATTAAGGCCTCAAAGGAAATAACAAAATTATGTCACCTTCTCTACATGTGGGTTATTCATTGTTTATTAGTTCAAATGTTGCCAACATTGGTACTTTTCCTATTTCTTTATAATAATAATAAAAATAAAATAATAACATGACCTAGATAGTAAATGTATGGCTTCAATACCTATTGTCACATGATTATCTGCTGAAGTATTTAAATCATATCTAATGTTGGGTGTATTCTTGACCTCAATAAGCATAAATGTTCATAAATAGGAGTTTAAACTCAAAGAAGAAGTCAATCTATTATATACCTCCAAGGTAGTTTCTACATTAGGCATCTTAACCTTTAGATGGATCAGGCTACCATGTTTTACACTTAAACCCATGTCTTACATAGCATGTGAGACAATAAAATTTCATGTGATAATCATCAATAGGTTATATCAAAATATTTTGGTGGTTTAATCCTCTTGACTTAAATTAAATCTTTAATAATGTTCCTTGTTACATTCTACTAATTTCTTAGTATTTTACACAATAATGTTTTGGTCTTCAATTAACTTCCCATTAGACTTAGTGGCTCCAAATGACTCAAACATTCACTCGAAATCTTCATATACCTTCATAACTCTATGAGGTTAAATTCTATGAGACTCCTCTCTTTTAGATTCACATCGCTTGAATACTAATAAAGTTAATCACAATTAATATTCTCTAGATTTAGGCTTTAGATGGGTATTGAGTACTTATCTACTATAAATACAAAATTAGGATGAGTAACTTCTTTGTGTCTAAATTCTAGCTTTCCAAAGCCTGCAATCTTTTGATTTCTTATTGAAGAACCTTGATGTGAAAGAGTCACTGAATTATTTGAGTAGCAGCTGATTTTTTATGTTTCTAGATATCCAACAATATAGCCATAGGGTTTGGACTTTGGAAGAAGGTGGTGGGCACGAAACCTTGTTTATTAGATAATTTGTGATTTTTTAAAATGATTTTTCTTATTATTCGTTTTATATTTATTATTTCTCCTCTCCTTCCTCGTCTTCTTTTCTTCTTCTTATCGTTCTATGTCCTCTTCTTCTCTCTCCTCATGCTGAAAACCAGCAACAAACAAGAGAGATCAGGGTTCCTATTAGTATAATACCATATAAATAGGTGAGTTTATTAGTTCTGATTTAGGTATGGTTTTCAAACGATCCATTTCTATTTCGCGGACACGGAAAATGGTCTTCAGTTTGAGTTTTAATCATGGATCAGGAAAACAGTCGATTGGTTCAATTTAGGGTTGCTAATATGGTAAAGATTTCGATTTTAATCGTGTATACAGTAAACGGTGTTTGATTACGGTTTAAATCACAGATAGTGTAAACAGTATTGGCTTCGACATAGCGTTAACAGGGTGCGACATTGCCTTGGCAAGTTACAGCACGCTCAAAGCACGAGAGGCTCACAAGTGAGCATGTGCGGCTCAGGCCGAAAACTTTGTCAAGGCAAAGGTGGCGACATAGGGTTGTGACACAACGTTGGTACGAGACGTTACAAGCAATTCACATGCAGAGGCACGCAACACCAATTGACCCCATCGCGAAACAAGGGATTACGAGAGCACTCACCGGATGCATGGTAGGCTTTACAGTAAAAGCTTCCACCTTTCGAGTCAATCCCCTTCAAGAGGATGGTAGAACCATCCAATTAAGACAAGACAATGGTTTAAGTGTCGTCCCTCATATCATACGCTGTTAAAGCATGCCATCAAGAGTTGAGACACGTTGATCTTAGGAGGATAAAATAAGAAAAATGATGATGAGCTCTTCTCTATAAATAAAGGTCTTCAACCTCGTGGAGGTTGGCCTCCTTTCTATTAATGAATTCTTATGTGAGAAGAGTACGCGCCTCTTTGAGTAGGAAACGCTTTCACAGGAGAGAAGGCTACTTGGTGTCCCCGAAGAAGATCAAGGTTAGCACACGGTGGAGCGATCAAGGTAGGCTCTGACTGACCCTGATCACCACGTAAATGGAGGAGGAGGCTGGCTTCCCCTTTATGAGTGTATTTTTTATGAGAAAAGGATAAACAGCTCTTTGAGCAAGAAAAACTTCCACAAGAGAGAAGCATGTTTAGTGTCGTCAATGACAACCAAGGCTGACATACAATGGAGCGACCAAGGTAAGCTCCCGACTGACCACCACATAAATAAAAAAGGCCTTCAAAGTCGTGGAGGAAGCCGGCCTCCCCTTCATCAGTGCATTTTTTCATGTGAGAAGAGCCACACACACAGCCCTTTAAGCAAGAAAAACTTCCACAAGAGAAGGCTACTTGGTGTCGCCGAAGTTGACCAAGGCCACCACCACCACACACCACAGTGGAGCGAAGGTAAGATCCCGCCGACCACCAGGTGACAGGCTGCCCTGGACAATGAGACGACCATTCCAACAGAGAGAGGCTGGTGGTGCCTCCATGGGAGGATTCACTTCTTGAAGATGCAAAGAACTCTGCAGGACTGTTCCAGTGGGGAGAGGAAGCATATGCACATGGCCACGCAAACCAGCAGGAACATCGAGAATCATCGACCATACCTCAGCAGCATGCATGCAGTGGTCTTCGTTCCTGTCTCATCTTTGCAGGGCTTGGGAGTCCCCGACGAGAGCAGAATCCCAGCGAAGCACATCGTGGGGTGTTGCCTGAACCTCCTCTCCGGTTTTTTCATGTACACTGCATGATCTGCTTCTCTTGTGAGGCAGCCGGCCCAGCCACCGTCTCGCACCTGCAGGTGAACCACAGATGAAGACAGTGCCCTTTCTGTTTGCTTCACTCGCCATCGAGAGCTCGCACCCCCGGCATGCGCCCCAGGGACCTACCATCCATGTATCTGCACAATCGTCCTCAGTTCCTCCAGACCATCCACAACAAATCGCTCTGTCTATGAGGAGGCCGTTCCTCGGTTCATTCTGCCGGTCTACTATGAAAAGCGTCTCTAGTATTTGTCATCAGTCAAGAAGAGGTACCGGAACCTAGAATCAAATGGGGTGATGATGAAACTCCGCACCCCAAGAAGCCTCTGTTTTCTGTGGGACGTGGAGTTTCGAACTAAAGCAGCCTGCTCAGGGGAAAGAAATCGGCAGATCCAGTCGACCAGTAATGAGTCCTCAACCACAGCCTTTGCAAAACAGTGTAATAACTTTGGCACCAGCAGTTTCCCCTTGAGGCCTATTCCCACGGAAGCCCGGACATAGTCTCTGAGTGCGATCTGAAGTTCCTCTTTAACTCTGCTGGGAGTGAATATCCTTATCTGCAACGAAAGTAAGTAGGAGCACCCAGCAATCAGAGAACCACGAGATGCGGCAAATTCAAGATGCAGACATGGAAAGATCCCCCTGATTCTTGAACTGGCGCATGATGGATGATCACCAGTGCCTTCCCGAGGATTCAGGGCCATACCCACTAATATAAAGTAACTATATAAGGTGAAACTAAAAATGGGGCCAGTAATACAAAGTAACATCCGTTTCATATAACGAACGATAGATCCACTCCGGTATGTGGTGGGTACGGACAAATTAGAACAATACTTTGAAAAGGAGGCCAAAGATGAAACAAGTTCCTCAACTCAAGATGCTACCTTCTAGACCCACAGCCAGCTTCCGTATGGTCAAAGAGACGATACGATCCCCAGACAGACTCGCACAAAAACTTATTCCGCATTGGCATATTTATGACTGACTCCACAAATCGGATTAAAATTCCAGGTATTCGTCGACATGACACCTATAAGGAAAAATATCTACGAGGATTTGCAGTTCTCACCGCAGGCGAAGAGTGCATCCCACAACTTAAGCCAAACGCAACGAGGGGCTCAGGGTTGTCAATTGAGAACTTCTTGTGCTCCTCGGATATCTTGAACTTGTGCATAGCCAAGACCGAACCCTGAGAAGAGCAGCATTACAACAATGACAACACGGACATAGACAGCGGAGTAACAAATAACTCTGAGCATATCAGAAAAACAGCATACGATATGCGGTCGATAAGCCGGAGGCTTCATCTTTAGAATGACATACTCGATCTCTGCTGCACTGACTGATTGATCGCCAATGGTATAAGAAACCTGCAACACCAATACAGCACGTGAGTGCGCCTCCCCTCGATCAATCTCATTTAAATACCATGCCAGACATCAAAGACAAACCTTTTGCATTAACGAAAAGTGTTTGATGTCATTTCTAGGCACTCCATAAGCGAGGTAAGCCTGTAGGCGTCGAGCATGAATTCGAGTCAAATCCAATGTGCCCACCAAGGCAGAGATCTAATAAAGAGGCAAGAGTAATAACAGTCTTCCTGAAGACAATGGCAAGGTGCTTTTATAGACCGATAGAGATTGAAAGAAAACAATATAAAGGCAATGGAACAATGACAAGGTTCTTTTCAAAAGCTGCCTGAGCATGCTTTCTCTCAGCTCCCAACAGAGAGTCAGTTGTGATCTGCTAAACAAAAATAAGACAGCGTGCATATAAGGTCTGTAAAATGTGGCAGCAGGCAAACGAGTGCCACACACCTCTACTGGTTCGTTATGGGTCTAACACAAATGCTTATAACATGTACGTTTTTTTGAGATTTGTGATCAATTAACCAGGGGACACACACACACACAGGCACACAGGCACACAGGCACACATACATATATTCATACTAGCATGGCTGAGAAGCCGTGTCCGGTTGAAGAGTGAAAGAGGCTGAAATATGCACAATTACAAAGTAAAGAGCATTCAGGGTAACTGCAGGCACGATTATTCATGAATAACTGAAAAGGCACTGGTAGGCACCTACCAGAAACATGGCAATGCGTATATTACTTACGTGCATGACTAGTGCATTATACAAGTTGATCCAGAACGCTAGTTTTTGGTTGCTGTTCATCTTAGCAGGGCTCACTTTAACTAGTTGTTCAACAAGGAACCTGCAAGACATGTCACAACGAAGACAAAGTTTAGGCAACTATTCAGAAGCACTTGTGGTCCAAAACTACATCAGCAAAGGATTAAGCTTTCAGTGATATGCCACAAACAAACTTTCTCCGGGACATACACAGTTGACTGAGCACTCGACACAACTTGGACATTCTGGCATGCAAGATTGCCCAAGGACTAGGACAGCATACTGACCTGAATGTTCTGAGAGTTTCAGCCGCATACTCAAGCTGTTTCTTTCCAACAACCATCCAAGAGACCTCAGTTGCTGAGCTATAGGTTCCAAGATTTGCACGATTTGCCTTCCCATGCACCCCATAAGGATCGAAAGCATTTTCTTTCGAAATTACCCCGGGACAGGAACGCATGTCCATCAGCGGACTGTGCAGCAACGATGGTTCAACTGATGAATCTGGTAAAGATGCCCGGGAAGAGTTGGACACGGGTTCAATTGGGGAACACAGGGAGACCGGGCCCTCTGAAGAAGAGACCTTGGATGACGTGGTGGAAGCCTCCGAGAGACACAGAAAAATGTTTCTCATGCACCTGACCATTTCTTCGGAAAGCTGATTAGGGTTATGCCAGAGGTTCCTCATTAGCAAATCCCCACTCAAGGGATTGGTTGCATCTACTTGTTCAAGATGCGCATGAACCTCTGTCTCATCGTACTCTGTACTGCATGACTGTGATCCCTGTCACAAAAACAGTAAGTTGGTCTTCAATTGTTTGCTTTAAAATGATGTGGGGGAAGGGGGGGGGGGGGGGGGGGGGCATCTGTAAAGCTCTTCTTCATCTGCAATTAATTGTATGGTTCTCTAGTATGCCATTGGTGAAACGAAACGATTGCCATGTTGAACCCATACCTCTTCTTCCTTACAGAAGCCGGATGGATTATCCATTGCCAATGATTGTGGATGCCCAGGAGCAGCAGGAGGAATTGTTTCCAAAGAATGAGGAGCTTGTATACTCTTTGATGCCCTCAGAGAAGATATGTGCTGGCGATACACGGATGACAGCCTTGGCTTAGCAACACGAGCATGAGATATCGAAAATCATCCTCACACGGAAGAAACAAGGAAGAGATTACCTCTTCCCATGAATAATCAGAAAAACACTCAGGCCTTGATGACGGAGAGGACGGATTTCCGGAGTTGTTCTTAGAAAGCTCGCGTTCATTCCTTGCACGTGTGATACTACGATGCAAGGTATTCAATTCGTCTTCAAGCTTGGAGACAGTAATCTCCAGGGTAATGATGTTTCCTACAAGCTCTTGAGCCTGCAAGACGTGTTATGACGTGACGAGCCGAGCAGGGTGATTGTATACGGCTAAAAACGATATAGAGGCGAGAAAAAATTGTGATAAGTACGAGAATGGGGAGGAGAGCTGCATTCATCCCATCGACCTTGATAGGAAGGAAGGAGATCGGCGGAGGGTACCTTATCCGGGAGATTGAACGGGGAGTTCAACGACGAGGCATTCAGCCCGATCGCACCAGCGAGGGCAACATGTAAGTCGATTTCTTCCTGTAGTTGCGCTTGCAATTTCTGGACCTGTAGACGACTGGCGATGTGAGCTTCAAGAAGGCGGTCGATTTTATTCACACCACCCTGCGACTCCATCGCCCCAAGTGCATGCCGCGCACTCTGAAACCATCGACCCTGATAAAGAAGAGGGAGCCATATACTCTCACCTCTCGTTCCAGCTGATGCCTGTATTGGCATTTCTTGGCATCTTTCTTTCTATTGCTTTCTCTCTCGCGCCGCAGGGCAACCTAGAGCACACGGAAAAGCAGGTAAAACTGATTGCGGAACAATGAACAAGGAAACCCGTTACCCGAAAAAGCGTAACCCCTCGATCTTTCCAGGAATGAATGGCTGGCAAAGGCCAAGCAATCACCCCAAAACGGGCGTTGATGATGCCCAAACAGAAGACCGGGCAACCACGCGGGGAGGAGCACAATTCACAGAGGGAGAAAGGCGGAGGAACTGCTGAGCCCTCAGGGGGACTCAGCAGGACGCAAGCGACTGTCATAAGTTGAGAATGGAAAGTGATGGCCGAGGGCGGAGCTCGTAAGGCCGATTGGGGCTGGTGCCATTTCCAATTACGTCGGGACTTTCTAATTCTCTCTCTAGGAAGAGGGGGGAAGAGGAGCGTACTCTTCGTGGGCGTTGGGGCGAGTACCTGCAAATCAACAGGTTGAGAAGGCCCCACTGGCCTCGAGGAGACACCGGGGGGCGGCGGGGAAGGAGACGTCGGGTCGGAGGTACAAGAAGAGGAGCAAGAAGCCTCGTCATCCAGAGCAAGTGCGGCGGCCGGTTCGTCCGCTTCTCCTCGATAACCTGCACCGCCACACCGGGGCGACATCGACGCTTTCTGGGCCAAAACGGAGACGTGGGCAGCGTCGACGGCTTCGCAACAGGAACCTGGCCGTGGGAGGGGCACGACGGCGCTCAGTGCTACTTCCTCCCCGTCCTCGGGTGGCGCCACCGTCGTCGACGCATTGGCGGTCGTAATTGCGGGGTATTACAAAAGCCCTTTTCTTTCTTCAGTCCTCGCTATGCGCAGTCTGCCCAGAGCTGGCAGCTGCACTGGCGCTAGGCCCTTTGGCGGAGCGTCACCCCCCCCCCCCGTTCACGAGGAACCCCGCTAAACGCAGATCTCGAAACGAGATGAGGGCTAATTTATTTATTACCAGAGACGGCCGCCCATTCATTACTAGTGGCGATCGGCCCCGGAGAGGGAGAGAGGTGGCCGCCGGGTGGGCGGAGCAAGCCTGCGAGATAAATAAACTAAGACGACCTGCGAGAACATTTCTTGAAAGCAGGTCCCGCTCCACGTGATGCGGAAGGGGGAGGATGACAGCGATTAGATGAGGGGGGGCGGGGGGGGGGGGGGGGGGAGCAGTAAATGAGCACGAGCGGGGGCTGCCGTAGATCGATCGGCCTCGCCCCATGATCAGAGTGCGCGAGGGGGTCGGCTCTGACGGCGGAAAACGGGATCTTGGCCCTCACCGAAGGCGACGGGCGCATACGCCGCTGCGCGTCAACTCCCTGTCGCGCGTGCCCTCCACTGGCCTCCACCACCGCCGCCGCCAACTGCCCCCCTCCCCTCCCATTCATCGGTGCCTGCCTGCCTGCCAGCGGTGGGATCCTCGTGATGAGCGAGCGCCGCCCCCACCCAGGCACTGAATCCGTCGTCGCGTTCTCGTCCATCGCCGTTCGTCGCCTTCGGGGGAATCAGTCTTCTCCTGCCCCGACCGTCGGCATTGGCGAGAGGCCTATGAGGAAGGCCACCGATTCACGATCATTATCCCCCTATCTTTCCATCTATTTATCTGTCTGTCTATAACGTGAAAGAGAACCCGAAATCGATCCTGACGGCGGCGACAGCCATTAGATACTTCTCGGCGGAGCCATCGCGCGAGGTCGTAGGCGTGGGACGGACGATACGCGGTAAAATGGGGGGAGAGGCGCACTCTGCATGCAGGGCCTAGGAAAGATTACGGCCGGCGTAGAAGACCAAAGACTCGGGCCCCCGCGCGCACCATCAACTACAACGAAGAGGTTCGGATGAGAGATGCCGAGAGCGGCGGCTCAGCCAAAAGCCTTTCTTTTCCTCGTCGATAGATCGACCCCCGCCCGCTGAATGCGCGGGCGGTGAGGAACTGGAAAGGGAGCGGTGGGCTTCCGGCTTGGTCTTCATTGGAGCCTCCATTACATTACATCCAGGGATTACATGCAGCTGTGGCCGTGGGACCCCGTCTCGAGATGCAGAAATGGGGGAACGGGAAGAATCATCTCGGTCAAGGCATCGCCCGCCACCGTGCATTATCTTCATAGCCTCAAACTGATTAGGTTTAGCCCCATGCAGCCAATGCCACTGCCATTTAATCAAGCCGTTGACCCGGTCTGCCCGTGAGCTATTGATGGTCATTAATCGCCATAGTGTTGGCACGACGACGGGCAGTGGGCGACGCCCTCGAACCCCGCTGAGGCCCCATCAATAAATAGCGCGACGCCGAACGTCAACGTGCTTCCGTGAGGAACAGTGAATACCGGGGGAATATCTGATCACTCCTGTCGACCTGGGAACATAAAAGCATTACTGTAAACAGGCGACAGATCGGCCACTGCCGATCGGAAGAAGAAGAAGAAGAAGAAGAAGAATACATGCGCCCATCGGCCGGTTTGCTCTCGACATCGACCGGTCTGTAGTTTCCCATTGACCAGTTTGCCCCCGATGTATGCATGCGCCCTGGGATACTTCTTGGACCAGGGCGGCCCAAGCATCGGGGATGACAAAGAGGTTCATTGATGCTTCTAGCCAAAGATCTGATTATCCCCGGGCGTTGGGCAACGGGAGGTGAGAGTGATTGAATGCTCTCCGTCGGTAGTTCACTCATGGCTGTGGGTTCGGGCTCTTCTCCCTTCATGACACAGGCTCCCAGCCCTTGGTTTAGCTCTGTCGATGGCTTACAATTAGGCATCCACTTCCGCAGAGTCGATAGCTGCGGAGGTCGTGTCGTCTCGTAGAAGAGCCATCCATCCCCATACATGCTAGCAGGCGGGTTGATAGAGGGAGAGGGCGTTGCAGATGGTGCCCTACGTCACCCACCGTGCATGGTCACGTTTGAGGCAAACCGAAGGCGGTTCATGCATTTGCCCACCCTCTGACTAGGAAGCTTCCATCTAATAAAATCTATTTACGACTGCTCCGTTGCCGAATCTATGGGCAACTTCTTGTACCCGGTCACAAATCGTCGATTGTGCTACCTTCGCGCGCCAGCGCCACATGGGAGGGGTGTGTGCCTGAGAGGGAGAGAGAGTGAGAGGGAGAGGGAAAAATAGTGGGAGAGAGAGGGAGAGGGAGAGGGAGAGGGAGAGGGAGAGGGAGAGAGGGAGGGAAAGAGAGTGGGAGAGAAAGAGGGCGAGGGGATGTTCTTCCTGGCCGTATCAGTTGCAGTTTCATTGCTTCAGAGGGTATACTTTGTCGCGAGGTTTTCTCATTATTAAGGTTGTCATCTTGCAAAGTTATATATTCTTGCGATGGAAAATAGATCGGCCACCTCCTCTCCCAGGAGAAGCGGAGCTTTCTTATCGTCTTTGACCTTGATCCTGTCGACCTCCCATTCCATCATCTCCAGCATCGATTCCCGCTCATCCCTCGCACTGGAACGGCCTTCCATCTTCTGCCCCGAGGTATTCTCATCCTCCTCTCTTCTCCGTAGATGTTTTCCTTTGAATTCCATTTCCTCTCACGCGGCCGACTAAGGAGGTGAGATGGCATCTGAGGCTGGTTCAGGACGTCACACGTATCCCACAGCCATAAAAGGGAGACGACCCCTACTAGCCGGGGGAGGAAACGTTGGGTTTTCCTCCTCTTCCCTCGGTCGCTTCAGGCTAACCCTTATGAATCGAGTCATTCTAGGAGTTGACCCACTCCTTGGGCTCTAGGCTCTGACCCTTTCGTGGAGCGCGTTTCCCCCACATTCCGTCCCCCGCATCGAAGAAAGAAACCCTACTGGGTCTTGGCGCCAGGGAGAGCAAGCCTCAAGGAGATCCCCCCCCTCCCCCCCGTCTTCCCAGAAAATTCGGAGAGTGCCGCCCAGGTTTCGCTGCTTCGATCGTCGCCCCGCAAAGGGCCATAAATTCTGAACCGGAGGAACGCGTGAGATCGAAAGAAACAGGTTGAGGGCGGGGCAGCTTGGGGCGTGCCTCGCAGTCGGTCAGAGAAGGGGGGAAGAAAAGAAAGATGACGTAGAAAGCGGTGCATGTGGTGCCCTCCCGGCTACCCCGACGCGGTGACTCCGAGATTATGGACGGTTTTAGACCAAACCAGCGAGACCCACAGGACGGTGCGAGAAGTCAATGCACCCTCCCCCCATCGTCAATGGAACGTAGGAAAACGCCCTGAAATTCTGATTCTCATCGAGATTGGCAGGGGTCCCTGATCCTCGCCCAGGCCCATCCCGCCCCTACCCTTCGGAAAGAGGAAGCGCTGGCTCTCTCTTTACACGGGGCGGAAATCACATTCAAAGCATAAGATTTAAAGGGCACGTGGGGTAATTATTGGGAGTTAACGCTAAGCCGCTCTGCCCATAAATAGACAACAACTATGAAAACCCTGTCCGCATCGAGAGTCTTTACAATGACACAACCTCGGGGAGGCGTTAACTGGTAATCATCTGGAACAGGGGCGCCTACTCGTTTGCGCTGATGTTCGCGGGGCGAAACTTCTCACCTACCTGTTGACGCACATCTCGCAGCCTTACAATCATTTTTTTATCTACTTATTTACGTACCTACTATCCACATACATCTCTCTCGATTGTCTCGACATGATGACTTCCTTCATGGGTCATCATACTAGGGAGGGCTTCCCCCTCCCTCACCTTGGACTTTTGTCCCAGTTCTCAGAGGAAGGGGGTGCCGGTGTGCAAGGTGCTGCGTCGGTCGTAACCGTCGGCTCTCCGTAGACTAATTTCTAGCAGTTCCCCGCCTCCAGATCTCTCCTTCGTAGTACCTTTGTGCGCTTTCTTACAGCAACAAGGTGCGGTGGTATCGATTTGATGCGTCGACTGAGTATTTTATCCTCTGCACACGCGCCGTGTGCATGCAGGCGCTTTAGACCCGGGGGAGTTGAGACCAAAGGGCGGCCACATATGATTTTGTTGCAGCAGGCGACGAGAGTCCCACGGCTGCCCCACCACCGGCGGAATTTCAACCGTGCGTTTTCTTTTATTAATCGAGTATGCGCGACTAACCGGTCGGTTTCCTGAAGAAACCTAAGGAGCTTGTGCGAGATCGGCCCCTCTTCGTTACGTTGCCCTGCTGCTGCTGTCGCTGTCTGTCTGTCTGTCTCTGTCTCTCTCTTCCTTTCTCTCTCAATGACGGCATTCCGGACACCAGGAGTCGGAGAATCGGCAGGTTAGCCGTGAGTGGATTCGAGACGTGCGAAATGGGGTAGCAGGGCTAAGGCCACTCTGACGGTACGAGGACTACAGAACCAGAGGCCACGTCATCTGAATGACTGCGGACGTGAGGCCGAGGGAGGGTTCGTCTCGTCACGTCCTTGTCTGGCGGCGTTGACGTACTCCCAAGAAATAAAAATTACGGCCGCTGATGTGGGAAGTCTGAAAGTCGTTGTCCGGAAGGAGAGGGGGGTTAAGGGTCTAGTTGTCGCGGTCACCACCGCCGTGATGAAATGAAGGCCCCCCTCTCTCCCTGCCTTCTTTAAGGCCAGTAGTTGGTTCGGGGGGGGGAGGGGCTTTCTCCGAAGCTTCCTATCAATCCACTGGTCTTTCGCAGACCGACATCGTGTGGACTCGGGCCGTTCCTTGGGGCTTCGAAGACGGCCAATGGGACTTGGAGCTCCCCGCGCACCATCACTCTGTGGGTGCCCGCGCCCCACGCTCGCTCGCTTCGAAAGAGGAGGCACCGGTTTTTGCTGCGCTAAGATATCGTTCTCCAATCTCTCTCTCTCTCTCTCTCTCTCATCCCTCGTCAAACCCTTTGTTTTTTCCTCTCCGCGTCTTCTGCGTGTTCTCTCTGCCTCATCCCCTGCCCACCCCTGGATCCACCTCTTCCTGTGCCGCCGCCTGGAGCGAACGCGGCCATGAACGATGCGGGAGTCCCGTGGTTGGCAGCGTCAGCGAATCATCATCCCCGCGCCACTGCTATGTCGTCGTCCCCTCCTCACCTCTCGGTTTAAGCCGAACTGGAAGTCTACGCGCGGCTGCTGAAGTGAATGAGGACGAACCAAGCAGGAGGAGAAACAGCAGCTAGCAGAGGGGACATGGGTGGCGGAGGGCCGCCGGGTAAGCTATGGCTTTACGTTTCCGTTCCCAATTCCCCAATGCTTGTTTTACTTTTACGAGAATCAGGCTTCTCCCCCTTGGAACTTATTGACGACCGTCCCCAAATGCCACCAGGTAGAGCCGGATCGAGTTGAGACCTGTCACGTTATCGCTTCTCCGAGTACCGCCTTTCCTTGAATTCCGACAATGGAGATGGATTCAATGGACTTTCCTCCGCCATCCCTCTCCTCCCCCTCCCGCATCGTTCGGATCCTGTTTCGTCTTCCTTCCTCCTCTTTTCCCTTTTCGCCATAATGCTTCCTGGAGTTACCCTTTCGCCAGATCTCTCTCTCTCTCTGCATTGCACGAGGTGAGGCGAGTGAAATCCGGGCGGAATGGAGGAAATCGGAGATCACTATTATTTTCCCCATCAATTTGATATGATGATTATCCTGGTTCGTGTGAAGAGTCGATCTGTTGACTTCTGCAATCCCCTATTCATGCTGACCTCGCCAGTCGTCTCCACCCCCGTAATTTGCAGAGTCCAGCTCTCGATGCACCTTACGAGAAGCTTCAAAGCTGACTTCTTTCGGGAAACCTTTGCGACCCGGGAAAAGGCCGCGGAATAAATGGCTTCCCTTCCTGGGGAATTCGTCGACGAGAGGACCGGTAGAAAGGTTGAGGCGTCTCTGAATAAAAGATTTTGAGCAGAACTTAATTGACTCCGGGGTGTCTTTGACCCGTCACATCGAAGGGCCAGCTTGGAAACTGGAATACCTCCGATTTTGAGGACAAGATCCACCGGGGACAGAAAGACCACTGCTTGAGCTTTGTTCTCTGGTTTTCAATTGTTCGATCGTTCTCGCTGATATTAAACCGGGTTTCTCTGTAGCATGTGGGTGCTTCTTTGTAGCTTGCTCCCGCGGCTTGGCCAGGCACTGCTTTTGAAATTCCTGCCGGGTGTATGCGCATCATCTCCCACTTCCTAAACCCCTTAAAGACACCATATTTTTTATGACCCTCTAATGTTCTTTTGTCTGATCGTCTCGGTGCAGATGGAAGCGCGACATGCACAGAGGAGAACGCGGATGAGGAGACCGCTGCTTGTCTGTCGCCAGCTTCAACGAAGACCAGCGCTTTTGATGTTTCTCAGCCATCAATCCCCAGACGGACGAGTGACGGGGTGCGGCGCAGATTAAAGCGCAGTATCTTCATCGTCTTGTTTAAAGCGAAGATTAACCTCCTGTTGCCTTGCGGGCCCGCAGCGATCCTCCTCCACCATCTGACGCAGAAGCATGTGAGAATTTAATCCCCCACTATTCGTGCTTATTTCCCCGCCGGTTACCATCATGTTGAACTACAATGCTTCCTTCTTTCCACATCATGGAAGTGAAAACGCCCATTCTGCGGCATCTTTTCACGGGTTCCCTGCTCGCCCGGGAGCTCATAAAACATCACATGTCTTCAGGAAACCTCCACGGAAATCTCATTGTCAATCATAGTTACGTATTGTCCATAGTTTGCCTGCTCGTTCTGGCTTTGAAGAACTTAATCAGCTTTTTGATGCTACCGATACCTGGTGCCACGATATAATTGACCAAGTTGCTTGGCTGGATCGGGAATGATCTTTAACATGTACCCATTCAGTTCAGAGCCAAGTCTGTCTGAGGGATGAATCGTGACTAAGCAGGTCCAATCAAGCTCGGCTTTCCCTCTTCTTGAATCGTTCTTCTGTGCCGAGTTGTCCAGCCTCGCGTATAGTTTATCCATGCAGAGATGTGTTTCTTTGTGATCCGCTCGCTATATTTGTCTTTCTGTCGTGCATGCTAGCTATGCTGGCTTTGGTGATTGATAGCTGATAAAAAGGAGGCCAAATTGTGTGAAAGGCCGGCTATGATCGAGACTCTCTTGACCCCCATATATGGAGACCCTCCCGCCTGTGGTTGTAGCAGATGCTCTGCATAAAATGAAACTCGTAGAGCTCGTCTGCAATCAAATAATTTTGCATCTGATGTCAGGGATAGAATATCTGCAAGCCCGGTTAGTTTTAATCCCTTGCTCTTTGAACTGCAGGGGTGGGTGTTCATTTTGAGCTTGATAGGCATAACTCCACTAGCTGAGCGGTTAGGTTATGCGACAGAGTAAGCGTTCCAAGCATAACTCCCTTTTGTGTCTCTCCTCCTTTCCTGTCTACGCCCCCCAAGCTGCGTTCTCTAACTGATTCCTATGGATATCTGACGTGTTTTTTCTTGCGGGGGCTGCAGACAGCTGGCATACTATACTGGGCCTACAGGTGCGTCTTTCTCTTCCATCATCTCATTCATGAAATGAGTGGCCACAGAGCCTCAGATGATTCCTGCCAATGCATGCTTTGTCCTATGAAAACCGGAGTGGTTCTTTGACGTTGTTGTTAACTTGGGGTTGTTTCAATTTCAGTCGGGGGGCTTCTGAATGCTACATTTGGAAATGCGACCGAAATGATAATCTCAATCTACGCTCTGAAAAATGGGATGATTCGTGTTGTCCAGCAATCGTTGCTGGGTTCTATCTTGTCCAACATGCTCCTAGTTCTCGGGTGTGCTTTTTTAGCCGGCGGGATCGTCCATCATAGAAAAGATCAAGTCTTTAACAAGGTAGAACGCCCGCTACATAAAGATGGTTTGTTTCTCTGCGTATGTGCATTCAATCTTGCATAAGAGGAAATCCATTAGTGAACTGTGGGAAGGACAAAGTTTGTTCTTACCTTCGTGAATGGAAAGCTTAGTAAAAGAGTTACCATTTTTGACAGGCAGCTGCTGTGGTGAACTCAGGATTGCTGTTGATGGCTGTCATGGGTCTGATGTTCCCGGCTGTTCTTCACTTTACCGGTTCAGAGGTGGAATATGGAAAATCAGAGATTGCCCTTTCAAGGTTTAGCAGCTGCATTATGCTGGTCGCTTATGCAAGCTACCTTTTCTTTCAACTGAAGAGTCATCGCAGTGCCTACAACCCTATCGAGGAGGTGAGGGATCCAATCATAAAGCCGCTCTATCAAGTGCTTAAAAGAGTTGGGTGAATCATCAAATTTTCTGCTGTTCATTTTTGTATTTTTTGCTAATAGCCGTGGAACACCAATATTCCAGAAAACTGCTCACGGAACATCTACATCTCTGCAGTTAGACTGGTTTAACGTCCAGTTTGACTGATGTTGGAGGTTCCATCCGTTTTATCCATCGAGTTAGAGGAATTGGATGTTTTTAAACTAGAGACTTGTACTCACTCCGGTCATCTTATTGCCTAATAGTCCAGAAACAATTTATGGACTTATAAAACTTGGCTGGTTCATAAAATTTGGCAGTGAGTTCCTCTAACATGAGGCTCCGCTATCAGACAATGAAAAACTATGTTCCCTCGGTTAGATCCATGATGGAATGTGATGGGGAACACCACACAGCAGCAATGTGTGAGTCTAGTCTGACCTTGGAATTGGCACTTGGGAATATTTTCTTTCTTTTGTGAATTTTGAGCTCCAAGCCGGTAGATTTGTGAAAGGAATTCTATTATGGTATTCGTTGGCCTTTTACTCTAGCCTTACCCTTTGTTTGGATCTTCCTACCAGCATTTGTCTGGAATTTGCACTGTTTTTCTCAAAATAGAGCATTTTTGCTTCATCTCTCGCTTCTGTCAAGTTTTATTCGACTTAAGGAAAGGAATGATATCGTCTGGCTCTTATCTGATGAAGTATCTGGCGCTGGTGAATAGGTACAGGAAGAGGGAACCACCAATGACGACCCCTGTGAAGATGAGGAGCCAGAGATATCACTATGGGAAGCAATAGTATGGCTTGCTATTTTGACTGTGTGGATTTCAGTACTATCCGGATACCTCGTGGATGCCATACAGGTATTTTTTGTGAGAATCTCAATTCATTTGGTTTATATGAAACGCATAAGTCAGGCTTCTGTTGGCTATGAATCTTCTCTTTATGTGGCTTAAATTGGGAAGGGGATGGTTCTGTATAGGGTCCAGAGTTGGATAGCAAAAGGCGACGCCCTTTAGAGGAGGCACACAGTTTGAGCTCCACATCTTTGCTTGGCATCCTAAGTGGATTTATGCTCCGGGAAACGGGGCTAAAGAAATGCAAGAATGCTGATCATTTGATGAAGGTTGACCAATACTAAATAAAGTGGAAACGTGTTTCATTAATTAGAAGGATAAAAGGGCATCAGACAAAGACACCGATAAAATGCTAAATCTTGTATCTTGAGATTCTTCCCAAATGCTAAATTTAGTTAATCATGGTTTTTCTCTTTTCCTGCCAACTTTAGTAAAGCTGAAATCACCAAGCTGTAGGTGGATGTGATCGGACTCCCTCACAGAAACTTTCGTGTTCGACCTATTCATTTAAGACTTTAACAAGTACTCTTCTTCGACTCAGCGATAGGTGGCACGGTTGGCTTTGTCCCTTTATGTTGTGGGTACACTTTGCTTCCGACATGAATGTGCTCGTGGGCTTGTCAGTGAATCACATGGAAGTAGAATTCATCAAAGTCTTGTCAACTGGAGTTTCTTCTGAATGACATAATCTTCCGACTCTTGCGGGTAAACTTGGGTTTAAAATTTTATGAGATCGAATCTGCATGGGAAATGGATGAGTTGCCCTCCTAAAGACAGATCGGGCCCGAGAAAAGTAGTATCACATGTGAATCATGCTGAATCCAAACTAAATCGTCTACCTCACGGGAGACCCTCAATAGGTGCGCTCAACCAAATCGGATCAAGTCTAACTGGGGTTGTGCTTGAAAAGTATCGGGGTGTTGTTAGGCTATGCACTAACCGAATTGCTCTCGTTTTAACTCGAACTAACTTAGGAGTTACACAGAAGGCAGTCTTGGCATATTTTAGTCATCGGCTGACGGTTAATAATCGTTCGTGGCCTTACATTATTGAATTTGGTGCACTATTTTTAATTAAAAGTATCGTGTTCCTCTCAGGGCGCATCCGAATCTTTGAACATGCCAGTGGCTTTTATTAGTGTCATTTTACTTCCTATTGTTGGAAATGCTGCTGAACATGCGAGTGCGGTCATGTTTGCCATGAAAAACAAGCTTGTAAGTCGATGTAGTGCGTTTATGTATTGTGAATTTCTACTCTCTGAAGGTTTTTGTCTTCTGATCATTGTTTTGACCTGCTTTCTGCTCAGGACATCACCTTGGGGGTTGCAATTGGATCGTCTACTCAAATATCAATGTTTGTGGTAGGTGTCCCCCCCCCTCCCCCCCCACTTGCTCTTAAACTGTCTAATTCATTCTTTTAATCGCTGATAATCGGTTATTTGATTTTTCGTTTCTATGTACTGCGTTAAAATGAATGGATCAATGATGATCTACTTATTTTGCTTGGTGCTTGTATCCACGTATATTGTTTAAGTGGGTCGGAGGCTATGAAGCTGCTGTATTGTTTTGTTTTGATTAGCAAAGGTGTCTAGGAATGAATCACAGATGATTTATAATATCGATCCCTTTCCTAATGCACTAGCAGGAACGGGTATTCACGTAGAACTGAAGAACGAAGTCGTGGTTGTATTATTTAAAGAAACATTTTTTGGGTTTTTTTTTGTCTTTGCTGCAGATCCCTTTTTGTGTGGTTATTGGTTGGATCATGGGGAAGGAAATGGACTTGAATTTTCAGCTATTTGAGACAGCTACGCTGTTTTTAACGGTGTTGGTTGTGGCGTTCCTACTCCAGGTTTGTTTCTGATACTTTCTTCGTCAAGGCACGCCGAGGAGTGTTTCTGGGTTATTAATCTCTTTAGTATTCATTACATACATGGATTTTTAGCTTTAGAAAAAAAATCGTATTTTTCGTTCTCTTCGGTGGCTACTTTACTTTAATTTCATTTTCCTCTCAATCCCCGCGGTATTCGTTTCCCCTCCACGAATAATGTATTCTGATTACTGGCCTCGAAGCCACGCTCCCCACGGCTTGGGCTTTCACCCCTGAGATATCCTTGGGCTTTGGTGTTTTATGCAGGAGGGCACGGCGAACTATTTCAAAGGATTGATGCTCATCCTGTCCTATCTGATAGTTGCGGCGAGCTTCTTCGTGCACAAGGATCCCAGCAGTAAGCAGCGAATCCCTTGACCCCGTCCAGATTTTGTACCGATTACCCGGCCTCCGCCCTTTCCTCTCGCCGTATTTCTCCCTTCCGGTCGCCGGCATTCGTCGCCACGCTTTGGCCGGGGTGCCGCTTTAACGAGGATCAATCACGTCCGGTGCCGGGGCAAGTTAACTGCTTGTCCTGTACGCACGCTGTGGCGATGATGCACTGTATCCACGTCCAGAGAGTGACCCCGGGGGAGGGAGATAAGATCATGGAGAAGAAGAGCGGTCTCTTTGCATGGTGGTATGACCTGGGTGGAACACCTGGCTGACTGAGTACATGTCTGTCTGTCTGGTTTGCTTGCAGAAGACGACGACTGAAGTGTTTCAAGCATCAGGTAGTCGCCGCTCCTGGGATCGGCTCTGCGCAACTACACGCCCCCTGCCATTGTGTTCCATATCTGCGAGAAGGACGAGGTAAAACCGAAGAAAGCGGCGGGCTTCAGGGGCTGGGACCATTTATTTCTTCTTCCATCGGGAGCGCCCCAGAGGGGCGGAGCGAGCGTGCCGACATTCTGGCGCGGTGTTCATTCAGCTCTTCTTCGGTATAGTACTGTACGTTCGCAACGATAATTTATATGTTGTTCGCAAGCTTCGCGAAAAATAGGGGTCGACCGTTCGGCCCCGATACGTGTAAAAAAAGGATCATGAATAAAAAAGAATGTTCAGTTATTCGACCTCCCATTCCATTCCAGTGTTGCCTGCCTGCCTGCTGCGGGTCACCTGTGGCCTAGAGAACGCCGGCCATCAGCGACGAGCGAGAAACCACGAGGATCACACGCACAGCTGGATCTTTTCACCGGGAGATAGATGATAGATGGCCACCGAGGGGCGGGCGACTCCCTGAATCTTCTCCCCGAGAACCAAGCGGAGCCACGGATAGAGAACCAGAACCAAGGCACACCCATGAGAAAAAAACATCTTCCGAGTTTGTCACAGTCAGTTGGTTCGTTCTTTTCCTGGGAAGAAGAGAGAGAGGGAGAGAGGGAGAGAGGGAGAGAGGGAGAGAGGGAGAGAGGGAGAGAGAGAGAGAATCTCAAGTGGTGAGCTTGCCGGCAGCTTTGTGAACCATGGTCTCCTTGTGGATTTGGTGGCAGCTCTTCTCCACAAGATCGAGCAGCTTCTCCAAGTTCATCGCCCATGAGTTGAGAACGTCGTTGCTGTTCTTCGTCGCCTGAAAGCATACGACCCCCAGCGTCCGGTCGATCTTGCAGACCAAGGCCTTGGACACCACCATCTCCGACATATGGTTCTCCGTTTCCTGTTGAAGCAGAGCACAACTTGGAGTTGACATGTCCAGAGGCGCGTCGAAAAAACAAAAAAAAAAAAAACTGGGGGAAAGAAGAAACGAAAAGACTACTACGCCGCTTGGGGAAAAAAAACACGAAGACAAGTTTTTCGTTTTCTTCTTCTTTTCAGCATAACAGGTAAAAAAGAGAGAGAGAGCGAGAGAGAGAGAGAGAGAGAGGAACCAAGAGGAACAGGAGGGTCTCTGACAAAGAAGAAAACCTGTAAACTGAGGCACAAGAGATCCGCGAGCCTCTTCAAGGTGATGTTGGAATAGTATTTTGCCACAACCAAGATATTCTGGAAAAAAAAAAAACAACAAGATGGTAAATAAATGACAAAGATAAACGGGATAACAAGTAAAATCAACCTGAGAAAATCTCACATGTTCAATTATTCTCTCTTTAAGATCTTCTGCCGCTTTCTCACCAAGAGAGCCTCCAAGAATGTTCTTCTCATTCTCAAACTCGTCCTTATACGTCTCCCAAAGTCTCGTCCACTGTACTACCTCCATTGTAACAAGTTGCTTTAAGAGCAACCTAAAAAAAGAAAAAAAAAAAAAAAAGCGCATCCAACAGCAGACACAATATGGGAAGTTAGAAAAATTCCAATTTTGAGAACCTTAAAGAGTTAAGAAATGTACCTAAAATTTGGGATTTCAGATAAATTCTTATCTTCCAAGGTGGAGTTAAGAAGGCTGGACTGCATTGGACCATGGGGTGACAGTGCTAGGTACCAGCAAATTTTCCTCAAAACCTAAAATTTCCAATTCGGGTCACACGATATTCAGTAAGTTTCAAAGAAGTACGGTATACAGCATGATGAGTTACCGGAATCCAGAGTGCTGGGTTCTCTTTCACAGAAGGGATGTCATAGATGGCTTTGTAACAGCGGCAGATCTCGAGGTAATCATTGCTATGCGAGTAATATCTACATCATGAAAACAAAAATCTAATCAGACATTATACATCAATGTTTCCAGATATTATACAAGAAAGAATTCAACCATCTTGCCCTTATATTATTTGACAAAACTAAAAGATAATGCGTGGAGGATGAAAAAATAATTAATGCGTTTCTCATCTCTACCGCGTCCAATTTTTGGGTAGCAAATCGCTAAACCTTTTCAATCAACAATTTTCAACTGAAAACAAATACGCTTTTCTCAATTTAAAATAAAGAAAAAGGAAGGTACAGCTGTTGTTCAAAAAAACTCGGATTATTACAAAAAGAAGAAAAGTACGAAAAAAACATAAAATTCAGGAATTCTCAGCCCAAGAGAAAAACAGAAAATTCCAATAAAACTCGGAATCCAAGAGTAGAAGCAGACTTAATCAAAAGAGCAGTTAAAACATAAATGTTCTTTGAAATTCTGAGAATCTTGTTAGTGGCATCACAATCGATTCCACCTAGTCATATCCCCGTGATTAAGATATTACGTTCGCACATATCTTTCACCAAAATGATGGAAGACTTTATGCTGATTCATGCGGGGAATAATGGAGACAAGTAAATCAAATTTCTTCTTGACGTGATATACCCATGCTATTTATAGCAAGATTCCAAATTTCTCCTAGCTTCAAGAATCTGCATCATGGGAAGTGTTCCTAGATTACATTTAATTCCACCTTCTTACAAGCACTGCGTCATCTCCTTTTGTGGCATATCCCACCACATCTTAAACATTTAACAGCATCATCATATTTCCTAGACCAAAGCTATCAAGATCACTGATTTCCTTTTGAACAAGGGGAATCTTTTGTGAGGGATTAGCTCCCACGTAGCAGATGGCTATTCCTCCACAGGCGCAGTTCCGTTATTTAAGGGTATGGAATCTCAATGTTTCAATATTCTCTTCACCCGGCTGGCTTCTCCCTCACACCAGGGCCAACAGGACAGCAGCTACAGTGACCGATGCCAACTGATGAGAGTATAATGCTCCATTTCTCTAAGTAACAGCATCACCACCTTAAAAAAGGATAAGTCGAATAAATATTATGCACCTACATTACCATTTCATTATCCGTGTTTCTGGTAGAAGCGTTGGCAATGTTGGCAAAGAAAGTTGTCCAGTATAATGTTTAACACGATAGAGTTTAAAAATCAAACAATCTCATGTATGGTTCATAATAGCGCTTCCAGATACAATCCAGATGTACAGCCATCCAATTCATTCTTTGCAAAACAAATGTTCACAATCGATACATGTACAAAAAAATGTACATGTTTGTAGATGTGGATACTGGAGAAAATGAAACCATCCACAAACACCGGATGGATTTGACAAATCTTCATTTCATAAGCTCAATGAACACATTAAAACAGTAATGGAAAATGGCTTACCTAATCATCAATTCATAGTAAATGCGCTTCAATTCTAAAAGTGTAGGTACATCAGGGGGGGCCTCCTCCACAATATTATCTCCTTCCTTGGGCTTTTTCGCTTTTGAAACATCTGCATCAAAGACTCGAGGGCTGATCTTCCTGGATAGAATTTGCGCTCTAACGTAGTCCTGACGATCTAAACATAAACGAACCTGGAAAAATTCATTCGTGAATGCTGCATTTAGGGTACACATTATATCATCAGACAACTACGAAAAAAATCGTGCGAAATAAATATACAACCCTACTTGTTCAAGGATGAACGCTATCTTCTCCGTTTTTGCCATGGCTCCAAATGTTTCCACCTGTGGTAGTCAAAAATACAAAAAACAAAGTATCATCAAAGCACTCGTAATCTATAAATCATTATAGACATTTTTAAAGTTGAACGAAAAATCGCAACTATAAAATACTGTCAACCGTGCCAGGAACATATTCTTACGGCAATTTCTTGCATTAGGTCGGCAGCTTCAGCAATAAGTCCCTGTTCTTCTTTGATCTTAGCAAGCCTTTTAATGAGGCGCGCTCTCTCTATCTCAACATAGATCTGCAGAAAAAAGAGAAGCTTTGAAAAAAATGATGACTGATGCCCAACAAATGGCTATGCCACGGTGATAAGGATTTAATATCATCACCAGCGTACTAACCTTCCCCGCTGAGACACTGTTCAGCGTTTTAATCAACTCAATGCGTGTTTCAATATCAGGAGTCTCATCAATATATTGCATTGCTTGTTGTACCATTGCTGTCACAGCCTGTTTGCCAATAAAATACGGAGGAAAAAGTGCTAGTCAAACGCCGTGGGATTTGGGGAATGCTTTAGCAAAATAACGATGATCAATAAATGTTCACAAAACAAAGATTCCTCCCAAAATTTTCCCCAACAACTTTTTCATTTGCTTTCCAAACACATTTATGAGGGGCTTTCCATCATGTTGAGATAAATACTCTACTGACCTTTGCTCGAGTCATATTTAATGAGGATATTGCTGACTCCCTAGATCCATACTAACCGTCCAGCTCACCATGTTTATATAAATTTCAATTCAAGTTGGCTCATCTGTATTAAACTGCTCTTCAGAGTCCACCAGTCAAGTTTCGGAAAAAGCATTAAAACGTATCGATAGCTGATTGAAAAAAAAAAACCCTAAAAAAAAGATAATAGCATGTAAAACTAAAAACATATCCAATGCTCATAAAAAATTTCATTCCCATGTTGACCTACATAACAAAAAAAGGGTAACCGTTGGGAAACATATCAGTCTCATAGTGCAGTCTTCGTTAATTAAACGAAAAATGGCAGGTAACCAAGAGGGTTTAATTTTATGCAAAAAAAGCTACCTAACCTAACATGGAACAGGAGAACCAATGTATGTAGTACAAGTGCGAGTATATTCAGTACAATTTTTTTAATGTAATTTAGTGACGGATATGTGCTTCCATATAGTATGCATCTTTTCACGCTTTCATAAACAGAAGGATGTTCATCTGTAGTGTGCTCATGGCAGAACGAAAGTTTTTCGAAAAAACCATGCTCATGCATTTTTTTTTTCTTTCTAATGCATTCATGAAAAAAGAAAAACTGATCCTTAAGTTACCTGCTTAAGTTGCCCCCTTCTCTTGGAAAGCAAAATAATCTGGTCATTCAG